ATAATGGCTCCCTCTATTATGGTATCTCTTTTCTTGCTCTCCTCTGTTCTTTCCCTGACTCAACCTTCTTGCTCCCTCATGTCCCCATCTTCTCTTCTCCCCCTCTCTTTCTCCTGGCTCCCTCTCCCCTTCCCCATGCTCCCAATTTGCTCAGGAGATCTTGTCACTTTCCCCTTCTCTGGGGTACCATGTATGTCTCTCAGGGTCCTCCTTGTTTCCTACCTTCTCTGGCAGTGTGGATTGTAGGCTGGTAATCCTTTGCTCTATGTCTAAAATCCATATATGACTGTGTACATACCATGGCAGTGGGTAGGTTGGAGGCCAGGCTGAGGATCCCTACCTGGAAGTCAGTGATACAGTATACCTGTGGTATGGAGCATCCTAATGAATGAGGTAGGCAGGTTCAGAGGTCCCTACCTGGGTTTGGAGTTGCAGGAGTCCTTGTAGTCCTTGGTGGTGTGATAGGTAGGGTGGCTGTTGACTATGGTAGTGTAAGGTTGCCTATCTGGGGTCAAGGTTGCAGGATGTCATTGTGGTAGGTGAGTAAGCTGGTGGCACACAGACAGTTGGTTCTAAGAATCCCTACTTTAGGGTCAGAGTCACAGAATACCACCAACTGTTGGATTTTTTTAAAGATTTTATTTTATTGTGTATACAGTCTTCTGCCTGCATGCCAGCAGAGGGCACCAGATCTCATTCAAGGTGGTTGTGAGTCACCATGTGGTTGCCGGGAATTGAACTCAGAACCTCTGGAAGAACAGTCAGTGCTCTTAACCTCTGAGCCATATCACTAGCCTCACAGCTGTTGGATTTTTATGACAAAAAAGTGTTTTAAAGAAACTGAAATTGTCTTTGAAAGTAGCTAAATTAATTTTCACTTCTACTATCAGTGAATAAGAGTTTTAGTACATACCACCACAGCTTACCAATATTAGTTTTAGATTTTAGCCATTATAATAAATGTAGTAGGATATCATTGTTTAATTTTTGGACCCTGAAGCTATATAATTTTATATATATTTTATCTGTTTATTTTCCACATGTATGTCTTGCTTAATGAAGTATCTCTTGAATTGTTTTCTTAATTTATAATTTAACTTTTATCATTGTTGAATCTTAAGACTTCATTATATGTGAGTTGACAGTCCTTTATGAGTTACATTTTGCAGATTTTTAAAAAAATTATTATTAATTAAATTTATTACTTTATTTTACAACCTGACTGCAGTTTCCCCTCCTTCCACTCTTTTCATTCCCTTCCCCCACCTCCCCTTGTCCCCCATCCACTCTTCCTCTGTTTTCTTCAGAAAGGGGTAGGCTCCCCATGGGTGTCAAAAAAGCACAGGACTAAGCTCCTCCCCTCATATTAAAGCTGAGTGAGGCAACTCAGTATGAGGAATAGGGTCCCAAAGGCCAGTAAAACCATTAGGGACAGCCTCTGATCCCACTATTTAGAATCCCTCAAGCACAGCAAAATGTGCAACTGTCACATATATGTAGAGGGCCTAGGTCAGTCCCATGTGGGCTCCTTAGTTGTTGGTCCAGTGTCTGTGAGCTCCTATGAGGCAGATTAGTTTTTTTCTGTGGGTTCCCTTTTGATGGCCTTGATCCCACTGGCTCCTACAATGCTTCCTCCCTCTCTTCAACAAGATTCCCTCAGCTTAGCCTGGTGCTTGGTTGTGGATCTCTGCGTCTGCTTCCATCATTTACTGGATGAGGGCTCTATGATGATAGTTAGGGTATTCACTAATCTGATTACAGGAGATGTCGAGTTCAGGCTATCAATCCACTATTGCTAGGAGTCTTAGCTGGTGTCATCCTTGTAGATTCATGGGAGTTTCCCTTGCACTGGGTTTTACCTGACCCCGAAATACCTCCATAAAAACATCTCTTTCATTACTCTTCCCCTCTATCCCACCCCCAATCCAATCCCTCATGTTCCTATCCTTACCTATGAGTTTAGCCAGGAAATCTCTTCTATTTCCCCTTCCCAGGGAAATCCATGTATTCCTCTTTGGGCTTTCCTTGTTACCTAGCCTCTCTGGGTCCATGAACTATGGGATGGTTATCTTTTACTTTGCAGCTTATGTCCACTTATAAGTGAGTGTGTACCATGTTTGTCTTTCTGGGTCTGTGTTACCTCACTCAGAATGATTTTTTTCTAGTTCCATCTTTTTGCCTCCAAATTTCTTGATGTCATTGTTTTTAATAGTTGAGTAATACTCCATTGTATAAATGTACCACATTTTTTAATCCATTCTTCAGTTGAGGGATATGTAGTCTGTTTCCAGCTTCTGGCGATTATGAATAACACTTATATACATAGATGAACAAGTGTACTTGTGGCATGATTGAGAATTTTTGGGTCTTGAGCTAGACTGATTCCCAATTTTCTGAGAAATCACCATATTGATTTCCAAAGCGACTGTACTAGTTTGCACTCCAAACAAGAGTGGAGGAGTGTTCCTCTTGTTCCACATCCTTGTCAGCATGAGCTGTCACTTGTGTTTTTGGTCTTATGCATTCTGACAGGTGCAAGATGGAATTTCAGAGTTGTTTTGATTTGCATTTCCCTGATGGCTAAGGAAGTTGAACAATTCTTTAAGTGTCCTTCAGCCATTTGAGATTCTTCTGTTGAGAATTCTCTGTTTAGATCTGCACCCCATTTTAATTGGATTATTTAGATTTTTTGATGTCTAATTCCTCGAATTCTTAATATATTTCAGAGACCAGCCCTCTGTCAGATGTGGAATTGGTGAAGAACTTTTCCCATTTTGTAGGCTATTGTTTTGTTTTGTTGACTGTGCCTTTTGCTTTACAGAAGTTTCTCAGTTTCAGGAGGTTCCATTTATTCATTGTTGCTCTCAGTGTCTGTGCTACAGGTGTTATATTTAGGAAGTGGTCTCCTGTACCAATGTGTTTAAGGCTACTTCCCACTTTTTCTTCTATCAAGTTCAGTGTAACTGGATTTATGTTGAGGTCTTTGATCCACTTGGACTTGAGTTTTGTGCATGCCGATAGATATGGATCTATTTTCAGTCCACACCCAGTTATGTCAGCACCATTTGTTGAAGATGCTTTCTTTTTTTCCATTGTATAATTTTAGCTTCTTTGTCAAAAATCAGGTGTTCATAGGTGTGTGGATTAGTACCAGGATCTTTGATTCCATTCCATTGATCTACCTGTCTGTTTTTATGCCAATACCAAGCTGTTTTTATTACTATAGCTCTATAGTAGAGCTGGAAGTCATGGATGGTGATGCCTTTGGAACCTCCTTTATTGTCCAGGATTGTTTTAGCTATTCTGTTTTAACCTGACTGACACAAGATCAGCAAGAGCACTGTACTCCTGGCAACTATTACATATGTTAGAACATAGATTTTCACTGTAGACAACATTTTGTTTTAGCTATTCTGTTTTTTGTTTGTTTGTTTGTTTTTCCATATGAAGTTGAGTATTGTTCCTTCAAGATCTGTTTTCTCCTATTTCTAATCTGCTATCCAACCTCTTTGTTTTGTTTTCATTTTGCTTATTAGATATTTCACTTCAGGAAGTTCTTTTTTTTCACACTTTCAACGTCACATTTTAAAATAGTCTTTGGAGATGGAGAGATGGCTCAGTGGTTAAAATGCACTGACTGTTCTTGCAGAGGATCTCAGGTTTATTTCACAGTACCCATATAGTGGCTCACAACTGATTATAACTCCAGTTCCAGGGGATCCTCCGCCCTCTTCTTTGTCCTCAAGCACCAGATTTGCATGTGGTACACAAGTATACATGTAGGCATAGCACACAGACACACACACACACACACACACACAGACACACACACACACACAAATAAATAAATACTTAAATTTAGTCTTTGTTCTATGAAATTCACTGATAGTCAAAATATGTTACAACTGTTATAGCATAGGAATAACTAATTACAATGCATAAAAGTTTGAAAGATCACTATAATTGTCTCATTAGGTACTACTATTAATCTGCCTACTTGCATTTTTAATATAGTTTATTTTTTCAAACTTTAAAACATAGATGTTTTGTAACTATTTTTTTAATCATTCTAGTTTCTGCATCTTGATTATCTGTTTCTGTTAGCTATTTTTCTTCTGCTATTCTTTTATGGTGCCTGATTTTATAGGGTGCTTGCTTATTATTTAATGTTTATAGCTCATCATTATTGAAAAATTATTTATGAAATATTTTGAAGCCTAAAATGTTTTATGTCCCTTCTCCCAGAAAGGATTTCTGTTTCTTCTTGCATATGTTTAGGAGCAATTACTCATAACTGTAGGTCTTTTAAGCCCTCTATCCATCAGGTACTGTAATTTAAGGCTACAAACAAACAAGTCTACTTTTAATACAGCTCAAGGAATGTTTTCCCCTATGTGTTGTGATGCCTTCTACTCAGTGCCAAAATAACTTTCTTTGTGGTCTCCTTGAATGGCTATGGGTAGGAGGAGCAAGTTTCTTTCAGACTTAGTCTTAGTCTAACCACATGATCTTGTGGAAGTTGATGTCTAGTTCCTGATTTACCAAGGCCTGTCAAATTTTCAGTAAACATTTGTCTATATTTACAAATACCTACCAGCCAAAATTATTTTTAATTCTCTGCTTGCCTTTCTGGGACTTCACTTTTCCTTAAATTTGTTTTCATAACTCTTTTGCTACTTTCCCAGTTGTCCTATTAATTTATATTATTATTATTATTATTATTATTATTATTATTATTATTATTATTATTATTAAAGCAATTTAAAGCATATTATCCAACATTTATAGTTGTTTTCAGAAGAAAAGTTATTTTGAAATGGCCTATTCACTGGTTCCAGAAGCAATACTGTTTCCCTAGCCTTCTATGACAACAGGTCTTTAGTTTTTTTAGGTTCCTTTCTTTTCATAGTGGAGTACCCCTCAACTATTGTGTCTGCCAATGATATTAGTAAAATATGATAAGGACTTTTATAAAATCAGCCCAATGTTTTTCTTTTTAGGCTAAAGAGGCAGTAACAGAAGCTGAGCAACAGGATCCTACAAACATTTTCACTCAATTTTATATATTCAAGATTGCAATCATGGAGGGCAACTCTGACAGAGGTATAAATGTTCTTTATGTGTTAATGTGACCAATAAAATACTCAAAGAATAAAAAGATCCACAATAAGAAAATAGATACATTGTTTTTAAGACAAGTGTACTGAATAGATATAATTATTTTTACATAAAAATTATACAATAATGCACAAAGAAACTGGAAGGTATATGAAAGTAAAAACAAAAGTGACTACCTATCTAGAAGATCTGAAATGGGAAAATATTGAACAAGAATTGGGGAAATTTTTTATCACTGTACTTGTTTATACTTCACCATTTGAGCCAGCGTACTCAAAAGTTTTTAAAAGTTACCGGAAAGGGCAATCATAATAAAACCTCACATCAGTTAAGAATTAACCTAAAAACCAAAGAGTTTGGGTACCTTTTGTCTATGTTTACTAATGTTGTAAAAGAATAATAAAAAAACCCCTAATCTTCAAGTGGAATTTTTCTTCACAAAATGATAGTGTTAGATACATGATGCACACCTTGCCAGGGCTATGCTCTACCATTAATTCACGCATAGCATCTTAGCTGATGTGTCTACATGTACATGTGTATATTTAACTAGTTACATATATGCATATACTCATTTAAGGTTTTCAGCCTTTCTACCCTTGGGTAGTTTGAAGAAATCGGAACCACAGACAATTTGCCACTTATAAAGGAAATTGAGACGCTTAAGCAGATGGATGGAAACAGAAACTATACCAATCGAATTACTAAATTATTTACAGTTACAGTTACTTTGTACCAGAGATTCTGTTATCATGCTAGAAAAAAGGTAATTTAATATATAATAGAAATGCTATATTCCTCAATAATAATGAAAAAGTAGTAAGTTTAGAGTTAGCTGTATATCAAGATTAATATTGTTTTCATGTCTGTCTTTACTGTTTTCAGTAGAGACTTTTGGACATTTGACACACACACATACATATATATATATGTATGTATATGAGTGTGTGTGTGTGTGTGTGTGTGTGTGTGTGTATGTGTGTATGTGTGTGTGTTGTTTTTTGAGGCTGAGTTTCTCTGTGTATCTTTGGCTGTCCTGGAACTTACTATGTAGACCCTGCTGGCCTTGAACTCAAGAGATCTGCCTGCCTCTGTTCCCATGTGCTAGGGTTAAATGTGTGTTATACAGTATATTAAGGGATAAAAGAACTTTAAATTTCATGAAGCATTTTTACCAGTGAAAGTGGAAAAATTTTCAATATTAAACCTTTTCCTTTAAGTTTTTTGAGTAGAATTATTTCACTTATTAAATTAAAAATTTATCTGTGTGTGTATGTGCATGGATGTGTGTTATGCCATAGTATTTGGAAGTTAAATGAAAACTTCATGGAATTGGTTCTCTCCCACCTTCATATGGATTCTGGGATTGAACTCAGGTCAACAGGCTTGTGAAGTAAGCACCTTTACCCACTAAGCCATTTTATCATCCCTTTTTAAATGTCTATATTTAAATAATACATTGATTATATATAATAGTAGGTTTTATTATGACATTTCATATATGTATATAATGTATTTCAATCATATTCATATTTATCTTCTATTACTTTTTCTTGTTCCTCTGACACTCCCATTTATCTCCTTCCTTTTCTTCATCTAGTTCACCTTCTATTTTCTTTTTTGAAGATCTAATGAATTTCATTAAGGTTGTTTATGAAACATGGGTAAGGGCTCATTTATAGGAGCATGTATACCTTATCAGCAGTTACACCACAGAATAAAATGCTGCCCCCCCCATTAACCATTAAATGAGTTTAAATCTTCAAGGAGGTGTGGAGCCCAAGATCTCCCTTCTCCATGATTGTATTTTGACTGGCCCAAGCATATACACAAAGAACTACATGCAACTAAAGAATGCTGAAAGTAGGAGAAATAGTCTTCCCCAGAGAAGAGCACACCATTGCTTATTCAATATTCATTGATCAGCCCAGAAAACATGCATATAAGTGACATACAGACTGTGGAGCTTCTATTTAGGAATGTGTAAGTAAATACATATATGCATATGCATATAATGACAATTAATGGAGACAGAGGTCCTAAATTTGAAAGAGAGCAAGGAAAAGCATATGAAGGGTTTGCACGGAGGAAAAGGAAGGAAGAAATGTTGTAGTTATAATCTCAAAAATAAGGAAAAAGCTTTTCTGATTAAGACTGACAACAATACTGATCTGTGGACATTAACAAGGTTATTTAGAAGGCATTTTATTGTGTATATCATACCCATGTAGCAAAACAACAGTAGCTTCCACAGTAAGGCCTATGACCTTCCAAGTTATGGACTTTTGACTAGGTTTCCAGTACCCTTGTATCTGACTTGCCACCAGTTATCATCTTTCCTGGTTGGTCAGTAGTGTTGCTCCCAGCTGATTAAGACTGTTAATGACAATTCTCCCTGAGTAACCTCCATAGCACCTCCTGGTACTATGAGGGCTAGCCAGGAAGGAAAAAGCAGCTTCCAGTCCGGTTCTAGCTGAATTTCTCTGTGTCCTGAGACGAGGGTATGTGGTAGCTTCAACTATACGGTTTTAGGTATCCAATTCTGGTGGGCAGCCAACAGCAGTGGCAGTTATTGTTTTGGGGGCCTCCAGGGCTTCTCTAACCACTCCTTATAGTTGGATTTTCAGTTAGTAACCCATGGCTTCTGCAAATAGCTTTACCACCCATGTAAGGCACATTCATTCAAATTCTTTTCATTTATTTTGTTTTTTCTTAATTAGCTTACCAATGATCAGATAGATCTCTGTATGGCTTTTTTGTACATCATTAGCTATGATTGAACCTCCCCCAACCCCTCACCTCTCCTGTCTCTCCCTCTCAACCCTTTCCACCCCTGTTGTTCCCACACGCATTCTATTAACCTCAATCCCTTAAAGAATCTTTTTACCTCTCTCATAGGCCCCTTTCTAGTTTACTGGGCTCTATAATACTCCCACATAAATGAGCATATAGAAAACTTGGAAGCTAGGATATGCATATGAAAGAAAACATGTGGTTTTGACTTTCTGAACTTCATCCAACCAAAATATTTTCTAGTTCTGTCCATTTTCCTGCTAACTCTATATTTTTGTGACTGAGTGAAACTTCATTTTTGTGTATTTTCACATCTTCATTATTTAATATTTTGTTGCTGGACATCTAGGTTGATTCTGTTTCCTAGCTTTTGGTAATAGAGCAGCAGTGCAGTGAACATGAGTCTGCAAAGCATCTCTGCAGTAGGATATATGTTCAGGAGTGGTAGAACTCAGTTATATGGAAGTTACATTTTCAGTCTATTGAGAAACCTCTACATTGAATTCTGTGGGGACTGTACCAGTTTACATTCTCACCAATGGTGAATAAAACTTCTCTTTTCCCCACATCATTCAATGTTTGTTGTCATTTGTTTTCTTGATTGCTATTCTAACTTGGGTGAGATAAAATCTTAAAGTAGTTTTGATTTTCATTTTCCTAGTGGATAACATTGTTGAACAATTTATTAAATATTCAATGGCTATTTATATTTCTTCTTTTGGGAATTCTGTATTCAATTTGTTAGCTCATTTATTAAAGCACTTTTTAATTAAAATAAAATTATATCACTTTTTCCCTTCCCTTTCCTCCCTCCAGCCTCTCTCAGGTATTCTCCCTTATATCCTCTATCCCCTCCTCTAACCCATCCATTGTCCCCCCACTCTTGACTTCATACTTTCATTGTCTTTGATTATATATGCACAAACATACAAATGCAACCTGAGTTCATTTTTGTTTTGTATATTTATGGTTTCAGGGTTAGCCACATATTGGATAACCAGTAAGGGTGCTCATCTCTGGGAAAGGCTAATTCTCTTTCTCATTACGTATAGTTCTTTGTCTAGGGGTAGGACCCTCTGAAAAATGTCCCTTTCTATATTAGCATGTCTATTGATATTGCCACTGTTCTGATCTTATTTATGCAGCCATTTCTGGGAAAGACTGTTTCACAACAGACTTCCTGGTATTCTGGCTCTTACAATCTTTTCACCACCCCCTTTCATGTTCTTACCTGAGCCATAGATGTAGGAGCTATGATATAAATATATCCACTGTGGCTGGGCTCCTCACAATCCATCGATCTCTGCATTTTATCTTTTCTGTGATGGTCTCCATTGGCTGCAAAGAGAAGCTTCTTTGATGAGGGATGGTACCTCCATTTATCTGTGGGTGTAAGAATAAGATTTAGAATATAGTAATGAATTATGCTGGTTTACCAAAGCAGTGGTGGTAGTAGATTCTTTTCTAATGTTCATAACCTCACTAGCTCCAGGAAACTGGATAGGTTTTTAGTACTAACCATGATTTCCCTCCTGTTGAGTGGGCCTGGAGTCCAATTAGACAGCCTGACTGTCACCAACATGTGAGTGCCAGTTATTGCACAGGTACCTTGCCATGCTGATCATTGTGGTTCCTCGGAGTTGTATCTGAGTAGGAGTATTAATACTTCACTCCCTTAGCAGCTTGCATAATATTTTCTGGTACCATGGAAGCTAAACCACAGGAAGGAGGCTTTCAGATTAGATCCATCTTGTCTTCAGCAATAGGGGCTTATCCTCAATTTCTAAAAGGTAACCAAGAGCTACACCAATAGTTTGGGGAGCCACTTGGATTATCCTGACCACCCATTTGAAAGGTGGTTTCTTATACCAGGTACTGGCCTTTTTGTACTAACTACTGTGGTTCTTGTGGGGAACATTGTCAGACCAAGTAGCATAATTTCTCATTGTATTGGTCTGTTTATTTAGTTTTTTAATCATTTGTGTATTCTGAATATTAAGTCTTTATCAGATGAATAGTTAAAATTTTTTTCCCATTCTGTAGGTCATCTATTCATTCAGTTAACCATTTGCTTGTATAAGTTTTTAAATTTTACCATGCCTCATTTGTCAATTGTTGGTGGTATTTCCTGAGCAACCAGAGACCTATTCAGAAAGTCCCTACTTGCACTTAAATCTTGAAGTGTTGTCCTT